AGTCAAACAAATGGAAGAAGCTCATGTCCTTGAGGTGGGGGGGGGACATCCATACGAGCTTTTCACTGTGCTTGGGAGTAAGCCTTAGGCAGGAGAAGAGGATTCTATGGGAGGAGCAAGCAAGATGTGTGCTTTCTGGAGTTTCCCCCTATCCGTTCTGGGCTTAGTCCTAATGTCACCACCACTGGCCCTGTTGTGGATATCCCCCCCAAGGAGATGAGCGCCAAACTGGAGTAAATCACTGCTATAATTCAACCAACGCATAGAATAGCGTGCAGTCTTTGCACAAAAAGGTTGAAAAGGAAATGTGTCGATCTCGTGTTCGAACTCTCGAGTAAATCGGCTCCGAGGTTCCTATGGTTTAATGGCCCGGAAATTTATTCAGATATCTGAAGCGCTCCTCGTCGGCGTCTCACCACGTTGTCGGTCTTCCATTCCTGGAGGCGTGGCATGACGAATTATCTTGGTGTGTGTGCTGCAGCAGCAGAAGGGTGGAAATCGATTCAGCCACACTCACACACACCCACAGCCACGGCAGCAGTCTGCTTCTAAAGCCGTTAGAAGAGAGCAGTCCAACCCCCTCATTCAAATTTGTCATCTAACGGCTAACGGTAGCACGAGCGCGAACACGACAACGACGACGGCAGCCAGCAGCAGCAGCAGCGACGGCGTCAGCAGCAGTGACCTTCGATGGGCGACTACGACTACCTCATCAAGTTTTTGGCACTTGGTGATTCCGGAGTGGGAAAGACATCCTTCTTGGTGAAGTTTCTCTCCCATTTGGGCCAATCCCAACCAATTTCATATTTTCTAGCATCGATACACTGACAACACATTCACTGGTCAGTTCATTTCAACCGTAGGAATCGACTTCAAAGAGAAGAAAGTGGTGAGTATTTCCTCATCCTTTCCGACTTTTCGATAAACATTTCCTAGTAAACAGCTGAGGAATGCTACTTATTGAGGCGCAGTGGTCTCATTTGTGACCTCCAGGGGATTCCGAGCGGAACTGCTAAGCCATAATCAAGGAAATTGTTTTACAAGCCGATGTCGTCGTATCGATCCGCCGTCTCCTTGGCATCACTACTTCTCTAACACCTTCTTTCCTTTCTCACTTAATGCACGAAAAGATAAGCACATCAATGCGCACGTGGCCCACGATAAGCGTGGGAAGCGTCCAGTACGTGTGAGAAAATAAATGAAGTCGGCGCCGTTGTACAAAAAAGGGACCACAGCACTGTAGTTCAATCCCCAGCAACAGTACTAACTTTGCGTAGAGGAAGGAAGCTCAGGGGTGTGAAAGTGAGCATGAGAGCGAGTATTGAAAGGTACCAGAGCCTTGAACTCGGTTTTTTAGGTTTACAAAAGTGCCCGAGGCGGTTTCGGCGGTCGAGGACAGCGAGTTCTTCTGCAGCTATGGGACACAGCTGGGCAAGAAAGGTGAGAATTAAATTAGATTCATTTTCTTCTATAGAGGACGACGGCGAGAATTTTAATCAAGAAAATTTCCTCTCTAGCCATTCCAGCTCCGAGAAGAGATTTCCCTTTTCTGGACGAAATAAGCTCCAAAGAGCGCCTAGTAGATTTTTTACCTGTTCTCTGCAATCTCATTGACGGTGCTCGCTCAAACCCATTTATCTGTTTATTTGATTGTTTACTCTCTTCCCCTCTCAGGTCGTCGAACAGTTCAAATTCATTTGTTTTTTTATACCCGCTTAATTTTTTATAATTTTTTAATTTTTGCAAAAACCTTCCCTTTGGCCCTTGTGGCTTTCAAAAGTATCCCTCAAAACGGTTTCTCGCTCATTTTTCTCCATTCAAGCAGACTGAAAGATTAGCCGGAGATTTCCCTTTTCCTTATTGCATATCCTCTAGCCTAAAGATTCGAAAACAGGCATTAAATGTCAATACATGAAGGGAATTGGGTGCTATCGCAAGATACCGGGGCATCTTCTAGGACCAAGCCTAGTGGAGGGCACAAACTCTGGAAAACATGAAAATTGCTAACGCACTTTGAATTTCCTCCTCCATCTGAGCTTCGTCCCATCTTTGATAGAGATCTGTTCAACGCGGTATGAAGTGTATTGCCATCGCAACGCCTCCGTATCTTACGATAGCGCAGGGAATTGTGAAGCGAGAAAAACCGCTCCGGTAGAAGGATTCATGACACTATTTGATCTAGGGCTAAATCCTCTAATTGTATGAAGCACGAAAAACCATTTTGGCAATCGTGTTTGACTATTACTGTAGGTTCATCTCGGTAAAGCTCTGCCCAGGTAAACGAACACTTTTGAAGGGCTCAACGTCTCATTGTCGTCCAGCAGGTGACCCTAGGCTATAAGCTTGTATAAAGCAGAAGCACAGTGTTGTGCCTTTCTGTCAACGCCCTTGGAACTAGGCGTCCATGATTTCGATTCCGCGATTACAGGTTGATAACTACCCGACCACCGTTTTATATCTTCTCTGTATCGTATTGTTGCCCATATGTGCCTCAACTCGAGGCTCTTTCTCCTCTCCGCGACCCAAATCATCTCTTATTTTGCTGTCTGCTTAGAATTCTACTCAGCGTACAGCAGAGAGATTCGTATTTTTGTTTTGACGATATTTTTCCTTGTTTCTTCACGTAAGGCCCACTTCCCACTTCGCTTACCAACTTTTGCACGGATAAATACGGGCACTCGAGTAGGATTACCACATGAAATGGATCCTGTCCTTTGACTTGAAATGGAAACCAGAAAATAAATTGTGGAGAAGAAAACAGAAAAAAAATCCGCTTGGATTTAAGTGTCATAGGTTCTCATCATTAGTCCGGGTTTTGTTCAAATTTATGTCAACATGAACTTTAGCCAGAGCTGAGCAAGATTTCCTGTCCCTCCTTACCGTAACCGTAAAAAGGTCAGTGCAACTTGAAAAGCTCCCAGGGAGACCTCCTTTGTTCTGCTGTTTTCGCTTTTTCTAATTAATGCATGTTATCCTTTTGCGATTTCTTCTAGGAAAGCAAAGCTAACTCTTCCTTAACCGAGGAAAAGAGCTACCTTTGCGTTGTTCAACACTGCCATCTGCAGCAGGTGGTGGTCACTTTACAACTGCACCCTTATGTACACGTAAATTTCACCTTAATTATTCTTTATCACCTTCTAAAGACCATTCTGCAGTAGTGTGCACACGGTTTTGCTCGCGATGAGTCATTTTCTTGGGCAACTAGTCAGGGATAAAATTGATGTATAAGAGCGCTCATTAGTGAAGGGGGGATGCGAAGCATGCTGAAAGTGAAGAAGAACGCAAAACGCAGCCATCGAAACCTTAAAAGTGAAAAGCTTGATTTTTATTTGATGTCGGGTGTGATTAGAAGGAGCGGAGAAGACAGAAAACGCGAAGGAGCACGCCGTACGAGAGGGCAAAGAGAAGCAGCCGTTGCGGACACCTACATACAGACAACTTCCGGTCACGGCCTCTAGTCTTGAGCGTCGAGAAGACCCTAGCGCCCTAGATGCGCTATTTCGAGCGGTGTCAATAGCGCATTATCGACGTTTGCGAACCGTCCTATTATACCTACCAAAGGGATTACCCCAGTGGTCTTTATTCTGGACCTTGCGTTTAACTGACTAGCAAGGGCAACTCGTGGTAATTTACCAACAGACAATGTTTTGAATTGAACCGTTGGAATATGGTGAGGGTTGCGGATTTGCGCATTTTTGAATGCGGCAGGGGTGGTCGCAGTGGAGGGTGTTGATAGTGGTATAGCCCTGACGGAGTCGTATTGACGGGTTTTATCAACCTGGCAAAATTCTCATGAAAAAGGCTTGAATTAGACAAAATTGGAGCATGTTTCGTCTCTTTATACATACTTAACCTCTTCTCCGCTTTGACGCCTGTTTTGCATGAACTTTGGTGTGGCGTTGGAGCTGGAGTTGTCTCAAAATCGAACACTCGACACACAGTCATGGTAATGAGTGTGGTGGTGGGTTGGGTGAGGAGTGGGCCGTGTTTGTATTATGTGGAACATAAAGTCTTTCCTATAAAATTTACAATTTTATTCATTAATACCCTTAGGTGAACCTTTTCTGGGCAGAATACAAAAGTTAAGTGGGGACGAGAAATCTATTTGAGCGTATTTGAATTGCTCTGGTGATTCACAACCTTTGCTTACGAACTTACCAACTAAAAATAGTCCGTGTTTGAGTAAATAGTTCTTTTATTTCTACAAATAAGTCTTTTTCCAATTAATCGCTATTCCCCGGCGGGAATGGAAGGCTTAATTGTTCTACGGCGGAAATCGATTCAACGGGCCGTAAAAGTGCAAAGCGGCATCTTTCGTTATTGAGCCACTCTCCTCTCCTCAGGCTTGATAGAGTTTGTTGTCATCGAAGCCATATAAAACGGGTTAAATGCGCTATTTCTGAGTAAAGCGCTAATTTGATACAGTACCCAACAAATATTCTTCGTACGTAGAATTTCACTCATAACGCCAGATCTACCGAGCCGTAAAGCTCAGGCATTAACGATTGATGAATGAGCTGCTTGACGTCTTCGGACAAGGTCTCTCATCGATGTGCTTAGTGCAGCAGCCATCGTGAGTCCCTGGAGAGTGGCAATAGAGCCGTGCTGCTGTTCCGATTGATTCTTCAGAAGTCCAGCCTCGAAATTTGATGAAATTTCAGGGAAATATAGGGCTGTACGACTATAGGGGGCCATCTGAAAAACTGACCACTGGTATACTGGTCCCATCGCGATACGGTCAGTCCGGTAAGGGTTGTTTGAATCGCATGCAACAGCTATGGTAAGGGGCAAGCTGTCTGGCCAAANATGTAACTTCACTAGAAACTTTCGTGGTTACGCCTATGTAGTAATACAATCAATGGATGAATGATGAATCATCGGCGCGAAGTAATCCCTTCTCAAGGCGCGCCACGCGTTCTACATTCATTCAGAATCGTGGTTACAATTCGAATGCGATTTGGACCTCACCCACTCACTCACTCAGAAAGTAGGGGGGAGGGGAGGGGTTGGAGAGAGAGATACTTGTGGTCAAACTTGTGGCTTGCGGTTCTTATCCGTACTTTGCCTTCTTCAGAGAAACGTCCCAGCAGGGTTAGCATCGATCTGACGGGTGAAAACATGAACAAGCCGCTAGTCAAGTACTATGGAAAATGCCCTGATATTGTGAAAACTTCACCTTTGGAGAAGCGTTCGAAACCCTTCTTTAATATTCGTTAACTTTTCATGCTTACACTACATTATGTTTGAGGCAGCAGTTTTCAGGCAACGGGAACGCGAACGGCTTCAAGGTGTTAAATTTGGGCACTATTTACCCTTTACTGCCCCACTCCTCAAAACTGAGCCGGATTTTGATCGAAATTCGTCCATGACTGTGGATTTTGCTAGAAACTTGCCTTCAGGGGTAATTTGACCCGTAGATCACGAATATAATACCGGTTTAGAGCGAAAACGCTTGGCGCCCGCGCCACAGGCGCCGGCGCTATCACAACAGTTTTGCGCGGGCGCTCGTAGCGCAGGCTACAGGTTCACTCGTAACAAACTGATGTGATAATCATATTCTACGGGTCAAAATACCTCTGAGGACAACTTTCCAGCGAATTTGGGGATCCGAGATGTTCTGGCGCCTTTTGGCGCCGGCGCTTCTGACGCGAGCGCCAGGCGTTCTAGCGGTAAACAAATGTGATATTCGTGTTCTACGGGTCGAATTACCCCCGAAGACAAGTTTCTGGCCAAATTCACAGTCAATGACCAATTTCGATAAAAATCCGGCTCAGTTCTCGAGGAGGGGCAGGCAGTAAAGGGTAAATAGTGCCGGTAGTGCTTAACCAACAGGAGTGTGGACCTCAGTAAGCTCAAGGGCCAGCAACAGAATTCGGAGTTCAAGGTTCAGTAATGAAGGACAGACTTTTTTCTCTGTGACTTCTAAATAAAGGCGAGTGCATGACGTGTCCCAGAGCGGGATTCGTAACTAAGAACGCTTCGTATGTGAGTGCGAGCAAACAATTGCTCTGTCGGGGAATATGCCGATGTTTTTTATGAGGCGAATCAAAAGTACCAATGAAAAAGTGTAAGAAATCGGCCATTTATTCTGGATGTCTAGTGGAAAATTCTGGCACAGGACTTCTGTTCAAAGGTCTCGTGTCTCAGGGATTGCAGGGAAAGGATTGAATCACGAGTGTTGGAAGGGTAAAACTCGCTTGTGCACAAGAATGCGCAACGGGTTATTTTCTTAGAAAGAGACGAAGATTCGGATGGTTCAAGCATTTTTAGGATAGGAACTAATTTTTTAGCCTTACCTTCACGATACCCAAAACATTCGAAAGGACTTTTTAATGTGGTGTTTATCTCAATAAATCCATCACTTCATAAAAAAGTTCGAAAAGTAGTGCGGATTTCTCGCACTTAAGCAGTCTATAATGAAAGGGACCTAAACTTTGGAGTAACCTAGTAGTTTCTGAAAGAGAACAATGGAAAGAAAGTAACAATAATCCATCTCGTGCGTGTCGAGGGATAGCTTTCCTGGCGTGAATGGCACAAATCAGGTCTCAACTTGACAACACGGAACTACTAAACACTGAGGAATTGCTCCAGGGGGGCTAGCGAGGTCTCGTTCAAGGAGGTGGGGGGAGTTTCGAGGTTGACCCTGTCATAAATTTTCAAAAACTGCTGGCAGGTGGCACTAGGACGGAACCCAAGAGAGGAGGAGAACGTCAAGAGAACGAAAAATGCACGCGTACCGAGGATCCCTTCCACTCCATAGGTTTTGCCCCAAGTACTATGAGTGGCCATTCAATTTGGAAACGTCATTAGCGCTTTGATCCCTATCCGACTACACCAACGTTCCTCTCTCAGTAGCACTCACGAAAGCATCCGTTGACCTTCGATCGAGAAGGTTTCTAAAGCAGTTCTTGCCGTCGTTGCATGTCAACTTCCATAAAGGGAGTTGCTTTTACGGACGGATTAGCCCCACCTCTGAGTGACGTCCGCTGCACGTTTCTTGTCGTCTTTCCACTAAACGAATTTGACCAAACGGGAGATTCGATGCACTTCCTTACTGGCTGGTGTTAGCGGATATTTAGGATGTGGTTACCTAGAAATTTGAAAATGACGTGATTTTGAACAGATATCTTTTAAGGTCGAATGCATACATTATGGCCTCGGCATCGTTTGCCGTCCTTTTCCACGATGCCGTTCTAGCAAAGATCACCGTCTCTCCACGGCTTGAACTCGCCTCCTACATAGCTTACCTTCACGAGGGTGTAGGTGTACCCGCGCTCGAGAATCCCGATAATTCCCATGGCCACGGTAAAAGCGGACGGCTCTCAGCAGTAACCTGTATCATAAATGTTGCTAGACCACCTTTGGCTACCTCAGGCCTCTTATGACTGGCCATGCCCTTGCTCTGTGGCTCCTTTGCGCTCCATCCTGCGTTGTGAATAAATAAACAAATAAACGAGAAAGCAAAACCTTGGGGGATTACGCTAAGCATGCTTATTTGTCCTGCTTTGCCAGGTCTATCAGAGAGAATGGAGCGGCAGCTGTATTCCTCTAATACTAACTGCGTCACAATTGCGTGGGCGCGGTTGTTGTTGGCGTGCGGCATGGTTGTTATTCCGATGATAGACTCTAAAGTAAAAAAAAACCCTGATATACAGTAATAAATTCAGGTTTCGAAGTTTGACGACGGCGTTTTTCCGCGATGCAATGGGTTTCGTTCTCATCTTCGACATCACTAATGAGCAATCATTCCTGAATATTCGAGACTGGCTGTCACAGCTCAAGGTTGGTCGATTCTCTCTCCATCTCTTTAAACGTGTTTTTACTACTGGAAAGAGGTGGAAGGATAAGGGCTAAGCATTCGACCTTAATAAGTTCCTTTTGGGATGCGCCACGTATTTCATGTTCTATCCAGAATTGTAGTGGCCTTTGAATGCGATTTGGCCTATGCAACGAATTGCGGGGTCAGCCGATGTAGAGGTTAGCGTTTTCAATCATTACCAGCTCGCTTAGTACAAATTACCTACCCGGAGATATAAAAAGGCTCGGCTTGCGGCGACGCAACTCAGATTTGAAATCTCGGACCCCCAGACTCCAAGTGCCCACGGCAACTCTGATATGACTTCATAGAGGGAATATTTAAATCAAAATTGTGTATTGAGGAATGGGAATTTTAATACGTCTCACCTTATAGCAAAAAAGAGCCCCCCTCTTCTCAAGTCCGCATTTGAATGTTATTACTACGCGCGAACAACGAAAAGCAGCTGTCAAGCAACGCTGTTGCTTCAGGTCGAGCTCGGCGGAAGATGTGGCTCAACCCACCTTCTACAACCCGTGTACCTAAACCTAACTGTAACCCTACTGTAACCCATGTGTCTCAACTGAGCGAGCTAACGGCAATTCTTTGAATTTAATTGGCGAATGAAAACTGTTCTCGAAAGCAGAGGTACAAAAAATGACTCTTGAAGGAACGGGATCTGCTTAGCGTCGAGGAAGGCTAGGCTTCTAAGGGAAGGAGACGCAGCGCGTTTGTGCGGAGGAGAGCGCCTGTAGCGGCGTGACAGGGATTCAGCCTTTACTTTGAGTGCCTCCATGTCCCTGCCAGCCCTTCAGTTAGTTGCTCCAACAGCCCTCCTTCCGCCGTCGAACTCTAGCCCTTTTACAGAGAGCCAGAGCTGTGCATTCATGTGAATGATAGCAGCTATCGTAGAATCTCGTCCAGAACGGAAGTATACGGGCAAAAGGGATTCCTTCTTGCGGGTTTGAGACTGTTTTCCTCCGTGTTTTACTTCACCACAACACCGTTTATCACCTCAACTTTCATTTCCAACCAGCAAATTATGATACCATCTGCATTTAAATACACTACAACCTCACTAAAGAACATGGCTGTCTGCATACCGTAATTCTTCCAGACTTTTACCGTACTCGTTTTAAGGTCCACGCGTACTGTGAAGCGCCGGATATCATCATATGTGGCAATAAAGCCGATCTCGAGAATCGACGTCAAGTCAGCACGGCCCGTGCTAAACAGTTGGCCGATCAACTCGGGTAAGCTCTCACACATAAAATTTTTGAACCTGTCCGATAGCCATTCGTTTTCAAACTGTAGCCAACAGCCTGTTGTTCCCTGATTTTTTTCGATAAGAATTCCTTCATGCGTTTGGCTTCGATTGTAAACTGCAGGGCGATTCGCTGGGTCAAACACAGTACCTTCTAGCAAAGACTGCAAATCTCCGTGCCTCGTGATGTAGTAGATTCTCTTCTCAATACCCTGGCGAATGAAGTCGGAGAGATCGCATGAAAAACAGCTTATGGGCCCAATTATTGCCTTTTCCGCCGTCCATATACCAAGATCCATAAAACTCCGGAAATCTCCCGATGGGTGCATTATATTCGGAGCTGCTGCCCGAATCCAAGCCACTTTATCAGTGATTGAGTAGCTGCTTCCACTATGACTGAGGCCATTTCTCTCTATTTGCAGGCCTCCTGTAGGGGCCAACTACCCTTGAACACGGACCTTGAAATTCACGTCCCATGCACCTTTTTGTACCCACTTCCTACTTGTTGGATACTTCATCGCGGAACGCATTACTGACGGAATTCCAATGCTGAATATCCAAATTGGATTCCTGAGACACTTGAGAAAAACGAAAGAAAAATGAAATTCCATGTGGATTCCATTGCGGACCACCGAATCTTCCCTCCTTCATCTCTCTCCGGCTCATGGAAAATGGCACATTCTGTGGATGGGTCTTTCCGGGTACCAAGGGAGTGGGACATTGGAAGGTCATGGAGAAGTTCGGTCACTGGAATGGCCATACGTGCTAATACCTCATTTCGAAGCTATAGAAAAGGAATTCCACTCGTGACGAGCCACCACTTTCATGTGCTGTCAAAACTAGATCTGTTCTCACATATCTTCCTGAAGGTGGAGGGAGGAAGGAGAGAATTAAGTCCTGGGTTGAGCCACAGTTCCAACTTTTATTAATAATTGCTTGTGTCCGTCGGGGATCCTCGAAGACCTTCGGGGCTTGTTCCATACAGCCCCCGGTCTCTGGCGACGAACGGTGAACTGACTGTGCTCGTAACGCTTTCTTCGCACTTCTACCCTTCTGACGGAGAAAACCGTGAATGCTCTCGGCTGGATCCGATCCTGCAAGCCATTGCTAGAGCTATCCCCACTCACCACGCTTTTTGGTCTCCTACTGCACAGGGCTCTCAAAGGGAGATATCGTTTCCCGAAGAAGTGTGGTGTCTCGCATTCGCTGGAACGCTAATTCTCTGAATCGCGGGCCGTGAAAGGTTGAAAAATCAACCTTTTCCGAAAGTTTTCGCTTCCTTAAGCTTCAATAGTAGAAAAGTAAAGTGAAAATAGTAGTAAAAAAGTAGCACTTTTGAGTAAGCATCCGTATTGTGCGTTGATGAATAATTGAGAAAGGCTCCCGAAACATTCTAACGCTGCTGCCATTTGCAGAAATGCCTTCCTAGAATGGATAGGGCCCGCAAAAAGACCGTCTTGACAGCTTATAAGCTCTGTAGAGGCTACTTTCCCCTAGTTTCTTTCGAGAGATGCAGGAAGTTCAGCAGGAAGTGCCCTATCTGAATAGGTATACAAATATGTTCGAAAAGCGTTTCCGGGAGCCGTATTCGGCTATGTGCGTCCCACTCGTAATCACTTCCGGTAACTGCTATTATTCTACGCCCCCTCCTGACGTCAATCACTGAAATTAAGCAACAATGGCTCGCATGGCCTCATTCTCTTATTGTACCCACGCTACTGCGAAGGATTTCAAGGGCTCGTAAACAGGAACCATTTCAAAATGAGCATTTTGCAATGCAAATGCAATTCAAAATAATTCCCACGGGAAAAACTAGAATTTCAATTACCCATGGCTCAAGAGTGAGACTATGCCTCAAGTGGGCTTGGAACTCGCCATAACACATACACTGCGTTTCATAATTATAGGTCCACCCTAAATTTTTGCTACCCCAAAGTTGCTGTGCATTTTTTGGAAATGCTGCTATCACCATTAGATTCCTCATCACGGAAAACCTTCATAGTGTTTTTCTGACAAAGTTCCCCCCTCAAGTAACCCAATTAACTTTTTCAGAACGAATTTTCACCGTTTCATGAATATCGGGCCACTCATAAAAAGTTTCCATTTCTCACGATCCGTGAAGGGAATCAGGGAAGCGGGGATATATGTGAGCTCAGTCGACATCGAGTTTACCATACCTCGTGTTACTTCGCCTCTCTTCCCAGTAACAAGCTCAAGCCAGAGCACTTACTGAAGTGGGATGGCTGAGGAGCAGAATTTCCTCCCATGTCGGCCGGCTCATACTGCATAAGCAACTATGTGCGAAATCCTGGTCAGTGCGGAAAGAGTAGTCCTTGGTAAATAAGACTGCGTTTTATTCAAGATTCAAGAGGAATTGGGCGTCTTCTGTCGAATTGTACAAGGAGTCCGAACAAAGTAAAAAAGTCCGTGCTGAAATGCGGCCTTCCGTGAGCAAAATCAACCGTGTGGTGGGTAAGCCAGCACAGCGCAGAACATCTTCAACGGATTGATGAAGAGCGTTCCAAGATTATTTGAGCGCTACAAGATCGCAAGTCTCCATTTCTCCGTGGAAAACGCTCAACCAATGAGCATGAAGGTATGGCTGCTGAGACCCTTTGCAATCTTCGACTCTACCTCCTTGTTTCATGCTACAGGTGATCTGGATCGACGTGAAAAAGTTCGTTCTAGGTGGATCTGATAGAAAAAGAGGGTATAGGAGGGTTCGTGAAAATCGCAGATGGTTTTGAAGTAAGGTAATTTTGGCGGAGAATCCCTTATGGTTTGAGGCACCTTTGAACGACTGAGCGGCTAGAGCTCGCTTTTGTTTCCTTTCACAAGATTCCATAGGGTATCGTGAAGTTCTTTTGAAGCGACTTTTACCATTTTTTCGACAACGATCCCCTCGATCCTTGATTTTTACGCACGATAACGCGGCTGTCCGTGCCGGTCCTTCCACGCTAGATGGAAGCGCAGGAAAAATGTGGCAGATATTTGGTGGCCATATGTTATCTGATATACGAATTTACGAAGAGCTGAAAACGTCGATCATCAGCGCACAGACAAATTTCGATCCTACTGTAATAGCTAATTTGGTTACCAGCATTCCAAAACGTATTATTGTGTTCCTTATGATTATGGAGGACCATCCCATTATTGAAAATTTGTGACGTTTTTTTGTTATAATAAAATCTCTCGACAAGTGATGTGTAGTCATATTTGCGAAACGGTGAAAATACGTTCTAAAGAAGATATTTTAATAGTTCTTAATCAAGATTTCTCCAAAAATCGAGTATCAAGGTTTTTCGTTATGGGGAAACTATTGGTAATAGCGGCATTTCCCAAAAATGCGCAGCAACTTTGGAATAGCAAAAATTTAGGGTGGACCTATAATTTATGAAACGCAGTGATTTCAGATGGTCCTACTTAGATCCACCCTCAACAGAATTCCGTTTACTAGGGATGGACGCCATTTATAGGGAAGGGCTGTGGCTCTGGTTCGGTGTAAAAGGGTCAGAGTAGAAATTTTCTTGTCGTTCTTACTAGGAAAAATTTCCTTTGAGAGAAAGGCAAGCGAAATACTTTTTCTCCCTTAAAGCCACGAGTCAGGATTAGGCAACCAGCAGAAGTTCTTCCCAGGGTGCGATAGTGGGCTCCCCAAGCACTGAGGGCGCGACACTATCGCGACCCAAAAGTGCGCGGCAATGGCGCTAAGGCCTTGCCCGCCGCGCTGCCCGCGCTGCCAGCGTAATCCACCACGGCATACGTGGTCTCTGCGTCCTCTCGCGTACGACGTACTATCTCGCGTTCTCCCTCTCCTCGCAGCGCTGTGTCTCTCCGTCGTACTACGGCCGGCCTCCTAAGGGAAATTTAGTGTTTTCTATGGTGCTTTTTGCTTTTTCTCCTCACTAATGTTCCTCATTGCACCCCTTGCCTAATGTTTGAACAAAATAACGCATCAATTCAATCCCGACTCGTGCCTTTAATCAAAACATGTGAAAATTTTATGTCCTCAGCGATCTTCCCATCTGGCTCTGACTTCGAATTCGAGATAAAATAAATGGGATATTGCCGACAAAATACTGCACATATTTGGGTTTTTAAATGAGCTCCTTCGCTCCCAATCACAATATGCTCCTAAAAAAGATGCGCCGTGGATTCGTTTTTCCTTCGGAATCATTACTGCATTTGAAGTCGAAAGCGTGCTAGAACCTCATAAAACCTTCGTAATGATCAGCCCAGCCAGTATTTTCCGCCCACCCAATTAATCTTCCGAGCTCCCCTTTTTTCCTGGTCGTAACATGTACAATCGAAACCCTTGGCTAGGTTCACATAAAGCAAGGCCTAATACTCGTGCTAGGCTTATTTCATGCCATACTTGGAAGCTTATAAAGTAATAGGAAAGCATTTTACATTGAACCACCTCCTTATTTTCAGCCTACCGTATTTCGAGACGTCAGCATGCACATCGACGAACGTTGAACGAGCTGTTGATTGTCTTCTTGATCTCGTCATGCAACGAATACAACAAAGTGTCGAGACATCCGGATTGCCCCTCTCAGGTTAGATCATTCATTTAAAGCCGTGTTGAAGTCACTTCAAACATCCAATGCATATTTCCGTTTTCCGATTTTCGATTTTTCAAAATGAAAGGAAAGTTATCTATGTGATGTCCGTGCATCTATTTTTGGCCACATGGGTCACTGCGCCGAATGAGGAAAAGGAAGCAACTAAAATACTTTCTGAACAATCTCTAGACTGAGCCAATTCAAGCAAATCTGTGGCTAGAATTTCAACTATTCGGGAATGGCTTGACCTTTTACCCAACCAGACCATAAGTAAAGTCTAACCGGATAATCTATTCAGAGTGTCGAGGCGCGGGTAGCATTTGATAGAGGTCGCCCATTAACTTGTGCTATGAGGTGTCTCAGCAGATCTGGATTTCAGGAAGTTTGTAGAGCTTTTACGTAGTATGCTTATACATCCCTCCCCCTCTGTAATATGTTCACTCTTGGTGAAATTTATTGGGAGATAGGTAGTTGGTAGTTAGGGTGGTTAGAAAAGGAGGTACTTCAGAGTAAGGGGCACAATAGGGCGTACGACGCCTTCAATTATTGAGAGATAGGTAGCTGGTACTCAGGGTAATTAAAGAAGGGGTCACAGAGTAAGGGGCAAGATAGGACGTGAGGATGCCTATAAGGAAGAGAAGGTCCCACTTATCCCGGAATCATAAGAGGTTGATTGAACGCTTCTATCGTCTATATTTTTAGGATCTTTATAACCTCACCCAACTAAAAGCTCAATGAGCCTGTCTTTGCTGACCAGTCACAAAAACCTTCGCCTCCAAATATTCTGTGGGTTCCGCTGATGACTTTTTTTGAAACGAAGCGCATTCTCTTCCCCTCCTCACAATGCTTTACGAGCACTTTAAAGGCCAAAAAACTCTGAATAGAGCGCTCGCCATTGACGTAAATTGCTAGAGTGATGCACTCGATCCATCATAGAACGAGATTGGTCGCGAGAGTTACTCAGAGCAGCTTTCATTGGATCGTACATTGACAGTGCCTACGTGATGAGCAGTGACTGATCACCGAGGCGATGTGGTTGCCCAAGGCTAGAAGTACGATACAGGGCGTCAAAGCTCTTAACTTGCGGTTAATGTACCACCTGTTCTGTGCGCGCATGGTCTGCGGTACTCATTAAGTCGCCTGTGTTTCTCGACTCTTCGGCGTCAGCACTCCCAATGATTGTGTTTGAGTGAGTGGATGCGCCACCACAAGTTATCTTCTTTGTGTTAGTGTTTTCTTTTGTTTCTTTGAAGGATGGATTTTAAAAAGAAAAATTGAGAATATATGAGAATTGAAATAAATGGAGAAGCCGTAGAAAAGCGACCAGTCTGAAATTGAAGGTTATAGCCAAGCTCTTCCACAACGTGGAGAGGCTGAAAGTTTGTTACGATATTTATTTATTTATTTATTTATTTATTTATTTATTTATTTATTTATGTTATTTATTTATTTATTTATTTATTTTTTGATGCATCCGGGGATGCGCTATTACCAAGATCTAAACTAGATCACATTACTAGTAATAAAGAGTGCAGGTGAAAAGTTCTCCAAAAGACAACGATGGACGATACAAGGTATTCACTAGACCACTTAAGCCTGGTTGAGTCGTAGTGATTGTACACTAAGTAATTGTATTCACGGCGGATGGCAGCTAGTGGCGGAAACGCCATCCTTTACAAGCAAGTAAAAAAAGAGGAGGAATCAAACTGAATTTCGGATGTTAGGTTTCCCTTTTTTTTTTTGTTAAACCCCCCTAACATTCAGGTTCTACCGCTAGAAGGAATTCTAGCATAGAGGGGCGGCTAAAGGCAATATTATGCTCTATAGTACGATTCTTTGAAAGCAGGCTTGGCTTACTGGAGTGAATCGCTACGCGAGGAAGGTAATGGCAGCATGCGGGTGTTAATACTGACTTCGCGGCGTGAAGTTGCCATCACAGGCCAACGATAAGGCGTTAGTTGCATCGGGGTTCACCAGACTGGGTTGCGCACACGGAAGATAGATCGCTTTTTTGCATGCCGAAGGCTCTCTCCCGACATTTTTCCCTCTCCTCGGTGTACAAAATCTCTTATATCGCCCTTTCTCTAACAGAAAAATCTTCTCTCCGGGGAGAAAAGGCCTCTGTTTGGACATTGCTTTTATTTGAATCCTTGATGGCTTATTTTTCATTTTTCGGTCTCAGCTTTGTTGTTCTATTTTTTCATTTCCGGGCGAATTGACCATACCAGCCCGATCTTGGATATGCCCTGATTCCCCAGTCCTGTTTATGGCAAGAAACAGAGAATTCAAACAGTTTACCAATTTTCAACTCCTTTTTGGGTTTTCAAAAGTTATACAGGACTTTGAAAACCTATTGTATCGGAATCGTTGAAAATATCCTCGACAATTTGCGAGTGATTCAGGTTTTCTCTCCGGAATTCTAGAATCTTCTTTCATTTCGATTCTGGATGAATTCATTCAGCACGCTTCGCTGAGAGCTTTATGCGGGGAAATCTTTTCAAACATGTCATGAGCAAAAATCTTCTACGCTTTTTCCATCAGCACTGCAAATTGGAAGGAACCGCTAACAGGGCTAGGCGTTTCCAACGAAGCGCATTCATTTTTTATCGCTGAGTCCCTCGAGACAAACGCTGATTGGACAACTATGTAAAAGCCAAAAGAAAAATGAGCAGTTCTTCCAAATTTGTCATCCCGAGCTTAGGGAAGGGGAAGGCGATGAAGGTCTGGGTAAGCCCAACATTGTCTTAATGAGGTGCAGCAAATGAGCCCATCAATTCCATTTTTTCTCTGGCCTGTTGCATTCAATAGAAAGCAAACCGTTGTCGGCGCATTAGTCAAGGCCTAACGGTATGTTAGGGAATCTCTAGATTCATAAAAGGAGAAAGGGCGGAAGTGAAAAGATTTAAGCGAGGTCTTACACTAAATTGTTTCTCACCCACACAGTCCAAATCTCCAACCCTGTATCGTCTCTAACCACGAGCCGAACCATCAGCTGGCCGAGTTGGAAGGGAGAGGAGACCTTCCAATCCGGCCAGCCGTAAGAAATTCTGAATCACTCAGATCTGCAGTAGCCTCTGAGTAAGAATCATCAGTGAGAGGTTGCGCGGCAACTTAATTTTCCTCCTTGTTGCCTGTAGGACAAGGCCAAAGCGCAGACGGCTAAAGGACGACGCTCATCCGAGCCTCAAGCGGGAGGTGTGGGAGTAAGGGGAATGAAAGCAATTCAGGCGCTGGAGGGGGAGTTGCACGAGCCACTTTTCGTGTAGCAAAATTTTGAGCGTACGAGGTAACTTTATGTAGTCAAGAATCGCTGTATGGGCGGAACATAAACGAAGGCAGCGCGCTCGCGCTTTTTGAAGTACCGAGTTAAATTAGCCTGTAGACTATCTGTAACGATAGCTACTCCCGGGGCGAGCGGTGAAGCGGAACTCGCCCACCTAGCGATCCGACGACTGAACCTTGCAGATCTTACTTCACCCAAGTCAACTAATTCAACGGTATAACCAGGGTCCATAAGTTGATACCAGGTTGGCCAATGAGGACAGAAATATAATC